CACTGTTTTAGGGCTTACTTATTCACAGGAATTTCAAAGTGAAATAAAGAAAGGGTAGCTTCTCTTTTCGAGAGATCTTAAAATATGCTTTGAGTCTCCCCAAAGCAAACATTTTAAAAGCAAAATTATGGAACCTCTTTTGGAAAAATTATATCAATCTATTTCTTTTTCCATGTGATTTCATAGAGCCAGAGCCCCTCTTGGGGTGCTGAAGCAAACCTGACCACATTTTTCCAGGCTGACATCATCTGTTTCACTCACACTTTCACATCCTGCATTAAACCTCCTGCATGCACATCAACAAGTCAGGATTGTAAAAGGAGTGTAACTGGGGAACTGTTTTTGGGTGATATTTGATAGGAGCAATTGTGCGCACTGCTGTTTTAGAGTAACTGTGGCTATAGTCTACTATGTCAACAAAAGTCACTTTTGCCATATGGAAACCTAATTATGTCAGGATGATCTGTTCCAAAACACTTTGGAGAAATTCAAGTCATTTAAACAAAAAGTAAATCAGTTCTTTTCTTTTTTGAAAAAAAAAAAGCATTTGAGAATCAACCTTCCTTAAATAACAGTGTTCATATTTCAGAGTTAGAACTTACAGTTAACAGATTTGAGAATAATAAAAAGGACTTTTTAGTTATTTTTAGGTGGTTGAGAATTTATTAGGTGAGAAGAAAACATAGATATTTCCCCACAGTCCTTCAGTATAAGTTTAATCTTACTTTCATTTAAGGCACTGAGTAAAATTCTGGCTCTATGGATATAAATGGCAAAATGCTCCTTGCCTCCCCACTTCAGTGTCAGTAGTATTTTTAATAATAAACAACAACTGTCCCACACATTAAAGCACATTCAAAGCATATAACCTCCCCTGAGGGAATGTAGTTTACCCCTCACAGAGAGACAGTTGCTAGCAGCCTTGACAAACTACAGTCCCCAGGATTCTTTGGGGGAAGCCATGTGCAATGAATGTGCTTTAAATGTATGGTGTTAATGTGACTGATGGTATTTTGGTCTCCTGCACATGTTTGGCCCCATTAATGGGAATTCCTTTTGCGTGAGCCCCATTGAGGTACAGTAACACTGCATAAGGACAGTTCCCATGCATTTCAATAGGGCCCTTGCCCAGCAGAAGTTCTTCATCAGCATTAAATATAGTGCTGTAGAATATTCTTGCAATGACAATTTTAATGGGCAGAGCCCAATATGTGATGTTCACTCACAATCCCTTAAGCATCAACCAGAAATGTTAAGGAAGTCCTGGTTATTTCAGAGCATGCTCAGTTCACTTGGGTCATTGGCCAGGCCTCTGGTCCTCATTGTAGGACTCTGTCCTACAAGATGTGTGACACAATCCAGTGGTTATACAAAACAGGGAAAGTTGGAATGTAGGAAGCTGCCTTATACTGAGGCTGACTACTGAATCCCCTAGCTCAGTGGCTGACAGACGCTCTCCAAATTCTCTGAAGATGCCATGGACTGAACCTGGGGCCTTCTCTGTGTAAAGCTCTATCCCTGAGCTCCTGCCCCCCCCCACTACTGCACTCTGCCCCCAAGAAACAGAAAGGTGAATAGTGATAAATACAAGCTACTGTCCAAGGAAGCCTGGCCATTACAGATCTCACTGAGGAACTGTATGGCCAGAGGCCATCAATACTTGCATAGAAGAGGTGTCAGCAGTTGTCATTTGTTATACAATAGAAATTCTGCTGAAATTCTCTCTTCAATACGACTATTAAAGGTGCAGGAGCCTTGGTAGTATTCAGTTATAGTCCAAATATCAAGTAGATATTTGAATAAGACCTATTGAAGTAGATCTACGTGACTAAATTAGGTTCATTATTTACATTGTGTCTACTCTGAGTAGGATGTAGCTGTATACAACTCGCTGTCATGTTTGGCATTTGAGAAGCTCCCAGATAAGCTTTCAAATCACCCCAGGGGGTTCCTGGATCAGAGCTTGAAACCACTTTGCACTATGTGATTTAGGTAAAGTTAAAGGGACGCGGGTGGCGCTGTGGGTAAAAGCCTCAGCGCCTAGGGCTTGCCGATCGAAAGGTCGGCGGTTCGAATCCCCGCGGCGGGGTGTGCTCCCGCTGCTCGGTCCCAGCGCCTGCCAACCTAGCAGTTCGAAAGCACGTCAAAGTGCAAGTAGATAAATAGTTACCGCTTACCAGCGGGAAGGTAAACGGCGTTCCATGTGCTGCGCTGGCTAGTCAGATGCAGATTTGTCACGCTGGCCACGTGACCCGGAAGTGTCTCCGGACAGCGCTGGCCCCCGGCCTCTTGAGTGAGATGGGCGCACAACCCCAGAGTCTGTCAAGACTGGCCCGTACGGGCAGGGGTACCTTTACCTTTACCTTTTTAAAGGGACCCCTGACCATTAGGTCTAGTCGTGACCGACTCTGGGGTTGTGGCACTCATCTCGCTTTATTGGCCGAGGGAGCCGGCGTTTGTTTGCAGACAGCTTCCGGGTCATGTGGCCAGCATGACTAAGCTGCTTCTGGTGAACCAGAGCAGTGCATGGAAACGCCGTTTACCTTCCTGCCAGAGCGGTACCTGTTTATCTACTTGCACTTTGACGTGCTTTCGAACTGCTAGGTTGGCAGGAGCAGGGACCGAACAATGGGAGCTCACCCCGTCGTGGGGATTCGAACTGCCAACCTTCTGATCAGCAAGTCCTAGGCTCTGTGGTTTAACCCACAGCGCCACCCGCGTATGTATGTGATTTACATACATTTAAAAACACCGGTTCTGGTATTTGACCTGCATCCCAAACAGGAGGCAAAAGGGAAAGTCAGAGGAAGGAAAGGAAGTGTCTTGCCAGTGCACCCCCTTCTGTGTCAGTTACGTCCCAATGATACGATGCTGTCTTGCTGCTCCTTCTGCATGATGGTTGCTCCAAGCAGTGAGTCACTTCTGTGGTTTGGCAGTTGCTTTCTGGTTTGTCCGCAGGCTGCCATCTGGAGAGTTTGGCGGTGACATAGTGGCTCGAGCATGTGCTTTTTGCGTTGTGGCTCCAGTTCTCTGGAATTCTCTTCCCTTCGAAGTGAAGCACGCTCCAGCATTGTCATGTTTATGTCGTCCGTTAAAAACTTTTCTTTTCTCTCCAATTAGCCTATTTTATTTCTGCGGTTTTTCATTCGTGTTGGTGTGTATGTCTTAATACTGTTTTATGATCTGGATTATCTTTCATGTTCTGTTTTCGTTCTCCACTCAGGTATTCTCTGAATATAGAACTACTTGTAAATTCAGAAACAAACAAACAAAATGTGTGGGGAGAAGGAAGGGACCCCAACATTGTAAATTTGCCAGTAAAAAAATCCTAACTCAGTTTATATACCATTATGAGTTTGGGGAAGAAGGTTCTGTACAGAGACCCTTCTAATCCCTGGATTAGCAAGTGTTAACATCTAATCGAGGCTTCTAATTCTTGGAATAGCCAGGTTATCCTCTTGGTGAGGTGTAGGGAAAACAAAGGGAGAGGCTTTGTGGGAGACGGTAAATGGGTGGGACAGATAGTGAAAAGGATAAAAGCCAAAGTTGAGAGCTGAGATTTTTTTTTTAGGCAAGCTGGGGGGAAGCCAGAGCAACGTTTGAGAGCAGTGTTGGATTTCTGTTTGAATTCAAGGTTGCAGCTATGGGAGAAACAAGACTCTCTTGGGGTGTTGATGCTGTGAGCCCCTCCATCGTAGGCTCAGGTTGTATATATGTGTAAATGAACTATAGATCATAAAGACACCACAGTCTCTGCTGTGCTACATTCCCAAAGGAAACATATACGCCTAGAACCCTTGGAATATTGCACCGTTTGGAGATTGGAGTGGCGGGCATTAGCTACTGTAACAGCACCCTCTCTGTTCCCAAAACTATTGCATCACTTCAAGTGGTCCTTTGGGCTTGGATGCTATATCAGCTGTGATTCCTTTGCCAGTAGCTGAGGTTATGTGAAGCCCATTCAATCCCATGTTGTTTGGCTTCCTTCCCCTACTGCCCCCCCCCCCGTTTTTGTGATGCTTCCAAGATATTATTTGGGACTAGGTTTTTTTTACCCCTTTTTTCTTTTCACAAGCAATCTATGTCTGGACATGGAGCTGGAAGCTTTTGCAGACATCATTTGAGCTTCTCAGCGCTTGGCTTACAGAAAATCTTGCATTTTATAACCAGATCCAGAACAGAAGCAGATACTCCATAAATCACTTTAATGGCCAAGCTGCACATTTTAACTATTTATTTTTAGTCTTGCTTGCTCTGGGATGAGAAAACTTTGAATGTGTATGGCACTGTCACACCTATGTATCCTGCCAAGCGGATCCCCTCCCCTTGTTCTTAAAAGTTGATGTCATACAAAAACTGGCCATTTTTAGCAGTAAGGCTGAGAAAGTGTATTCATCTCCAGCCCTCTTAAAATTCCAATCATCTACGAGTTTTATGCATCCTGTAAGTGTAGATGGAGGCTGAGAAGAGGGGCACTTTCACCTGATCCAACACCCCTTCAAGCCCAGCACATATGGGGTTTGGGTTGAAGCCCAAATATCCCTCTTCCCCCTACCCCCAGAGGGGTGTATAAAAGACTGCATAGGGAGTCTGGGTAAAAAAGAGGTCAGTCAGGGCCCCTGCACCTTTTGATACGTGGACGAGGGAATTTTCATAGGTGTAGCTTGTCATGCAAGCTAAACTGTCTAAAATTCCCTCTTCTGCACAACTACTAAAGGTGCGGGAATCCAATACTTTCTTTTTCTATCCACCTGCAATAGGGGTTATGAAAGATCTAGATGCATTTGAGTGGAAGTCTTTCCACAGCCCTCTGGGATCTGTATGTTCACACAATTACAATCAGTGTAATAAAACTAGGAGTATTAAAAACACACACACATTCCTATCTATTAACTGGAACAGGCACACCCTGGGAATATTTATCGAGAGGCATGTCCAAATATTAATAAGCATCCTAAATCATCATGTAATGTATAATTTTATTTCTGTTTGCATTACAGATAATGCCGGTGAGGAGAATCCCATGCAAAGCCAATGCACCACCTGGATCCTTTTTTGCACGGGACAATACAGCAAATTTCTTATCCTGGTGCAGAGATGTGGGAGTAGACGATACTTGTCTATTTGAATCTGAAGGTCTGGGTATGTGTCAACTCCTGCACATCGCAATTTCCAGTGTACTTATATCGGAGCGTCAGTCATGTCCCTAGTGATTATCACTGGGGGCAGAATCAAATCAAGGTGTCTTTGAAATCATGACGCACCATTGAGTCACTTTTTTAAACAGAATGTTCTAGGCCATAGCTGCTTATTTGTTTTAAAATACTGCATTCAAAATATTACAGATACTGCCTTCTATTAAATGTGGTATTACTCTGAGTTGTGATGAAAATGAAGGATGTTTTGTGGAATTTCAAGAGAAAACCTGTTCTAGTTTAATTTTGACCACAGTCAGTTAATTCTGCTCTGCAATATTATGGACGGTTACCTTGTGACAGTCAGTTTCACCACACACAATGGAACTTCTGTCCTGAATGCATACAGAACACCCTGTGCCATACTGATGGCTGCTGCAGGTCACGGATATTTTGATGTCAATAGTCACTAATCAGGATATTAGGGAGCAAGCACAACTCCACACTGTAACTGAATGAAGGGCCTTAGGCAATGCTTAGGCTGCTCAAAACCTCCTGGCATGCTAGCAGAGACCTCCACCTGTGGCAATGCACAGCGAACGACAGCAGGGCATGTTGGGTGTGGGAATGGATGAACCAGATCAATTGCCCCTTTGTTCCCTGACAAAACGGCACAACTTTATTTCAGCCCTGGGGCTAGTGTAGTTAATTCCCTCCCGCTACTGTGAGTTGGTAGGAAAGAAGAGAGGAACTGAGCGCCCAAACCTCCTGCCCTATCCTCAGTGAATCTGCACAGTGGGTGTGACAGCTGGGCCATAGGCAGATCTCTTTTCCTCTTTGACTTTGTTAGTAGATGTCAGGGGCTGGACTGAGGAGGAATGGTGGGGGCTGCCCCCTTTCTCTTGAACCTTCCTGAGAACCGTAGGACAGTATAGATTTAGAACAGTGGTTTGCAAAAGGGCATAGTTCAGAGGCTGCAGAAGGGAGAAACTGGGAAATATTGGAAGATGAACAGCAGGAAGAAGAAACACCAGGGGAGAAACAGTTGACAGACTTAGTGTCTTTGGAAAGCATTCCTGAGCCCCCCCTCTCCCAGGACCAGGCGAGCATTGAGGGTAGTCAAACAGAAGGCTCAGAGGCAGAAAGCTCAGATTAGCCAACGCAGGGGTGACGTAGAATAGGAGAGATGTAGTGGGGTGGGACTTTACTTGGAGCAAAACCATTATCTAGGGGATACTGCATTAGTTCATTTCTCACTGTAAATATTGAATAAATTGGTAAGAACTTTTATTGTCTATCTGCTTACTGGCTGCCACCGTGGGAGGGATCAGATTCCCAGAAGCTTGACAGTAGCTACTGTAGAACTGGGAAGATGTCTAATTCTGCAGGACTGGACCTCAGTTGGATCACACATAAAGTTTTACTTGTATATTCAAAATCGGCATTTTATGAATGAATGAATAACTAAATGCTGAAACAATGCCTAAATAATATTGGAACTATCATTCCACTATGCATAGTTCTTGGTCTTTTAGTTGCTGGCTCTTGAAAAGGGAATTCTATCTACATAGTTCAATTAAGTATGCTTATTGGATCATTATTATTGGCATCATTATGATATCCTCCAAATATTTCCTGCATACTTAGCATGTGACTTTGTCAGCTAATTGTATGATTACTGTTCTCTTATTAAGCATATAAAAATAAATACACTCTGGAGTGCAAGAGAAATGTGAAAGGGGATGTTGCTGCATCATACCAGACCCAGTCGCTATACATTTCAACAACAGCCAGAATTCTGTATGCCCAAGCATGGGAAAAATGATGAAGCAAGTAGATTGGTTCTCAGTCCCCCCCTCCCCCATTTTTCAGGAAAATCTGAAAACAATGGAATATTATTAAATTTACAGTGAGGTTAAATGGCGAAGAAAGACTAGTAGATGGGATTAGTAACCCAAAATGGCAATAGGGAATTTGGAGTGTTGGGAAGTGGTGTGGATTATATGTTGATGTAGAGGATTAGTAAAGAATAGTAATAGTATCCTGCTGTTAGGATGTGAATAAGGATAAATATTGGAAGCAGGCGAAAGCCATAGAGAAAGAGACAGGCTTGATTTCTGCAGGAATCCGAGGTCGTGGCTATGGGAGAAGCAAGATCCTCTAGGGGTGTTAATGCTGTGAGCCCCTCCATCCTGGGCTCAAATTGAATATATGTGTAAATAAACCCTGTATCATAAAGACATCACAATCTCTGCTGCCCCTCATTATGAGGAAACCAAACCCTGGGGTAAGCTCCTGGAACCTCTGGAATCTTGCACTGCTTGAAGATTGTGGTAGCATGCAACAATATTTTCCTGTGGAGGGAAAAAAGAAGAACTAATAACTCCAGTAAGCTAATTCTTATTTTAATTTCATACTTAGGCCAAAAACAAGTCCCAAGTGAACTAATAATTAAGCAGCAACACCAAAATTACTACAGCTCTGTAATAACTGCAATTTATTGCTTTGCAGTCTGCACTTAAAACTGTTTAAATGAAAGAGGGATGGTATTACTGCTGGATTGGATCCAAAGTTGCCTTGCGTGAGTGAGTGGAAAGGCACCTTTACTCACACAAAGCTTCGCTAACTTCACTCCCCTTCCCATCCCACACAGCTGTCCAACGCTGTTTGGGATGGTTCTCTCAATGGTCAAGCGGAGACTTTGGTGGTGTTTCCAAAGGTCCGCAGTGGGGAGGAGAAAGGAGCAGGAAAGCCATGTTGCAAGAGTGGAACTCTGCTGATACTTCCCAGACCCACCCCTTTATTTTCCCCAATAGCATTCATGATCGATTTGCCTACATGAAAATTGTACCATACTACTTAAACAACTCTAATTCCAACCCAGACCCTGGATTCATCAGCTGAGGCCCTTCTGCGTGTGCCTCCTTTGAGGGAAGGGTGGAGGGTGGTGATATGAGAATGGGCCTTTTCAGTAGTGGCTCTCCTCTTGTGGAAAGCTCTGCCCAGGAATGTGCCATCACTATCAACTTTTAGGCAATAGGCAAAAAGGTTTCTTTTTATCTGGGCTTTCATCCTTTAATTTGGATGAATTTCATCCTTTAGAACTGTGGGATGTGCATCAATGTGTTATTTATTTTGTGCTGGTTTTATAATGTTTTCGATCTTTGTACTGTTTTGCCAATAATTTTGAGTCACTTTTGGGGAGAAAACAAATTGTAACTGCAAATAATAATAGTGTGTGTGTAGAGTTTTACATATAACTCTTTGCTACATTTGGTAATTTATTTTGAAGTCATGTGGTTGTTTCCACAAAATGTAATCCTTCTTCCCAAACAATTACTGCTTTTGTTGTTGCTGCTGCTGCTGTTAATATAATTATTTCATCATTTTTTTTAATACCAAAGTGCCTTACAGGATAAAAACTGAAATAGCAAACAAGTTCCAAATCAAATATAAGACAAGGACATAAAATGCTCATCCAAATAAGAAATAAATTCTAGCCACTCTGCTTTTAGTCGCCAAGAAATAAAGGTGAAGGATTAAACAGTAAGATACAGAAGCTTGGATAATGACTTTCCAGATTACACGCTGACCTTTTTTCTGGCTGAGTCATCCAGAGAACCGAAGCAGAGTATGAGATGGACAGTTTATTTTTATCTTGACCACCTCTGCCTTCGAGAAGCAACAATTTCAGCAAAGTCATAATCTTAATAATATAATTTTTCCTCCTTTCATGCTTATGACAAATCTCTTTTGATACAAAATTTAGGACAACCTTTTGCCTCAAGATTGCCTTTCAGCCGAAGATGAAGAGAATCAATTGTTTGGTTGGACCTGGAATCAAATAAAAAGTGAAAAGCTGTTGTGATGGAAGACAAGTCTGCTGGAGCACTAAATGAACTCACTGTGCTATCATCAAGAGGCTTCTGTTTTCCACTGCTCAAAAGGTTTTTCAGTGTGTGCAGCTCTTATCTGGATTGCAACTGATCTGCTTGCCTTCCTTTTCGACATTCTTTTCCTTGCATTTTTAATATGTGAGAAGATCGTGCTATCCTCATTCTGTCCTTGGCTTCTAATATTACTTATCATCATCATTACGTGATAATTATTAATGTATTTTATTACATCTATTCCAGGCATTTATATACCGCCCAAGTAAACATGTCCTCCACTCAAAAATCAAAATCAGTCACAGCTATGATAAAATGGGCACAGGACATTGGGTACAATATCATGTTTGCTGACTGGGAAAGGTTATGGACCACCGGTGTGAAGTTCACGGCATGTAATGCCTTAAAAGAAAATATTATGAAAATGATATATAGGTGGTACATGACCCCAGTCAAGCTTGCGAAAATATATCATTTGCCTGACAATAAATGTTGGAAATGTAAAGAAACTGAAGGAACGTTCTTTCACCTCTGGTGGACTTGCCCTAGGGTCAAGGCTTTCTGGGAAATGATATATAATGAGTTGAAAAAGGTATTTAAGTATACCGTCCCTAAGAAACCAGAGGCCTTCCTTTTGGGCATTGTTGACCAGAGGGTGTTAAAGAAGGACCGAACATTCTTTATGTATGCAACAACAGCAGCAAGGATACTTATCGCTAAGCATTGGAAAACTCAAGATTTGCCCACGCTGGAAGAATGGCAGACGCAACTGATAGACTATATGGAACTGGCAGAAATGACCGGCAGAATCCGTGACCTGGGAGAAGAAGCAGCGGAAGAGGATTGGAAGAAATTTAAGGACTATTTACAAAAACATTGCAAACTGTATGAGTGTTAAGAAGGATGCAGGACTGAAAACAACAGGGCATCAGCAAATTAGCTGAAGGGAATATGAGAATAAGTGAAATTTGAGAAAAAGATAAATCTCGGATTAATATCATGTCTAAATTAAGTATTTAAGCTCACGATAAAAATATTTAAAGTTAGAGACATAGTATTGGAAAATCACAAAATAAGATTTGAAACAAGGTGATAAATTGCTGTTTAAAACTCTATA